ACCCCTTTTGCTGGGAGAGAGACTGCAGGAGTCAACAGGTGGCCTCTGCCCTGCACCATCTCTGCCCTCTGCCCGTCCCATAGATGTTCCGCCTCCTGTGGTGAGATGTCCTTGCTGTTACTAGTTTACTGGCAAGTCGCCAGTAATAATTAACTGAAGAACTTGATCGGGGCGTTGCTGGCATTGGAATCATGAATGTTTAAAATCGAGGCAACTTAACAGCACGTTGCAATGCAGCTTCCCTCTAGTTTGGCCATGGTTACACCATCTATATATTTTCAGTCCCACCTGGTGAGGTAAAAGCTGACTGAAAATGGACAGGAAGCAATGCTGTGATAGGTGAGATGCTAGATCTGGCTCAGCTTCTTCTCTCCAGTCTGGACTCCTTAACCTGTAACACGAGGCAACCGTTTTTGCCTTTGCTGGGTCTCTGGCTGTGCAGCGCAGTCACGCTGACAACGCCGGAGCGGAGGCCAGGCTTCTGGCGTGCCGCCAGACCACCGTGCGGGCTGCTGTCTCCGCTCGTCCTGTTAGGATGTCGCCGCCAAGCTACGTCCAGGGCGACCACCTCACTCTGGCTTCCGCAGGACTCGCCCCCTTTCCCACTGATAGCCCACCTCCTCGAAGTCTCCTCGGTTCTGGGTGTTTATCCCAGAGCCGGAGACAGAAAGGAGGTTTAGTGAGTTCACATGGATTGGGGCGCGCACAGGCGGACTGATAGCCTGCCTCTGTGTGGGGACCCTCTGTCACTGTCACACCTTGCCTGCTTTATGCTGCCTCACGAACCCAGGCATTAATCATTACCATGCCCTCCTCCAGCCAGCAGGGGAAAGTGAAACCTCCCGGGGCATAAACCAGGCATTGCACATTTCACTTTTGCTCCCATCCCATTCCCCTGCTTTGAACTTACTTTTATGGCTTAAGTTGAGCCTCTCGAGTAGCTAGCAAAAGTGGTGCCTTTTGTCTTCTGGACTGGGAGCCACGCTAAAATGGAGGAGTCTGCTTCTAGACAGAAAGGGACCCAGCTGCGGCGCCAGGATGTGCCATCCAACACCACCCCGCACTTCCCCGTGACTTAAAATAAAGGGGGTTTCCTTGGCCTTGGCTGTGAGTATGTGAGTTAACACATCCAGCGAATGAAGTCTCCTGGATTGAAGGCAAAGCTTTAATGAAATTTGTGGTCTGCTTCCTTCCCCCTCATGCAGCAACCATTACTGAGAGGTGTTCTCCATTGCTCAGATGCATAACTGCAGTGTTTCGAGCTAAAGCGTCCGTTAGCCCCTCATTCAGAAGTAGGGCGATTGATATAAATGTGCATCCTTTTATTTTAAAACAGTGGCATAGTAGTGGGATGTTGGAGGTGCGTGACATGTGCTGGTGCAAGTCACTGTCTAGGCTGTTCATTCAGTAACTCATGCCCCGTCCCCAAGGTTCAAATACATTTTTATCCATTGGTTTATTTAATCTGCTTTTCCTCATGAGGTAACATTGGTTTACACCACTGCATGTGATTTAGGGCGATAGATTCACAGCTAAATTTTTATAGGCTATGTAAAGATTACCAACTTACACTAAAGTCTCTTTTGGAACTTAATTGGCCTAGAGGGGTATAAGAAAATACAGTATAATACTAAAATCAATACTTGTTTAAAAGCACTAGCAACGATATCCTAATTAGTTTTTACTTGGCTGAATTTGTTTTTTACTTATTCCTTGGGGGGGGGGTATTTTCCCAGGCTTACTTCCAGAGGCGTTTTGAGGAGAAAAGAAGTTACTCTAAAGCTATCTTAGATAATACTAAGGTTCACCTCCGATGTCTCTGTGACTGAACAGATAATTGTGTAATTAGGGGCTGCATAAGGCCGAATGGCAGAGAACTGAAAAGTACTATGAATCTCAGCTGTTTTGTTTAGCCAAACTACTTAATCTGCTTTGAGGACTAAATCGTCCACTTCATTTTTCTAACTAGCCCTGTTCACCACGTACTGACGTGATTTTAAATTCCTCACCAGCCCTTGTCTTCTTTTTCCTTTAATGTGAAGACACTTTGTTCTTTTTTGTTTTTTAAGATTTATTATTTATGCTTACAGAACTGGGGTACAAGCTAGAGGTACAGGGGTGGTGAGAGGATCAACAGACAGAGTGGGGAGCAGAACAGGCAGATCGACGAAGTACACTGCTGAGGGGAGCAGCGGGTGGGTCAGGAGAGGTCTGCCGCGCCATGTGGGTCACCTCCGGGGCAGGTGGGGATCGAACTCATGCGGAAGGCGGCTTTAGCTTCTCAGTGCTGTGCTTTAACCCGCTGCGCCACTAGGGAGGGCCTTCTTGTTTTTAATGCCAGATTATAAATTGCTAAGATGCTGGGATAGCAGCTGGTGGAAACCTAAATGTTTCCCTCTAGCTTATCTGTTTATCCTTATTCCCCTGTGCCATTCAGTCTCATGCCTGGTTTCCAGTTCAGAGCTATTGATGAAGTAACATCAAATAGGAAAGGTCACAGGATTCTTTTAAATGGTGGGCAAGGGTGATTCACCTCCTCTTAAAAATAAATTAGGTGGAGGCCCTTCCTGGTGGTGCAGCGGGTTAAAGCACAGCACTATGAAGCTGTCCGCAGCCCCTGCAGCACGAGTTCCATCCCTGGCCAGGGAGGTGGCGCGGCAGACCTCACCCGTCTCACCCGCTGCTCCCCTCAGCTGTGCACTTCAGTAGGTCTGTCTGTTCTGCTCCCCACTCTAATACTCACCCCCCCACCTTTGGCCTGTACCCCAGTTCTTGTGTACATAAATTAATATTTAAAAAAAAATTAGGTGGAAATAACATTTTACATTAAGGCTACCAGAAATCTTGTACGGTGCGAGACTCTGGTATTTAGGTTCCTCTTAGAAAATGGGAAGAAAAAAGAGGGACTCATAAGTCTGTTTGTCAGCTTTATAAAAATCTTAGTAACTGGAGTATTCCAGGTTAAGGCTGTGTGAAATAGTGATACCTGAGAAACAAGACCATCACAGCTGGTCTGATTTCTCTCCTCTGTGTGATGGGATTAGTACCCTTCCTTATTTTGCATGGGCGACATTTATGTACAGTGCCACCTACACATTCTTACCTTTTTCTTTTGCCCAAACTCACATTTGAATATGAATAACTTCCACTCTGTGAGAGGTAACACCCACCTCCCCTTAAAACTTTTGTTTCTTGAATGCAGGCACAGGGGAGTTTTTTGTTTTTGTTTTGTTTTAAAATTTATTTATGCATACAGAACTGGGGTACCGGTGAAAGGGGGTGCAGGGGCGGTGAGAGACAGAGTGGGGAGCAGAACAGGCCCACCGACTAAGTACACTGCTGAGGGGAGCAGTGGGCGGGTCAGGAGAGGTCTGCCACGCCATGTGGGTCACCTCTGGGGCTGGGATGGAACTCAGGCCGAAGTGGCTTTAGCTTCTTAGTGCTGCACTTTCACCCGCTGCGCCACCAGGGAGGGCCCTGGAGGTGTGTTTTTAATACAGAGAAGAAAGTGGGGTATGATAGGCAGCATGAAATTATTATGGAGTCTATGAACTTGGGGTTTTCTGTAATGTTCTGGCAGTGGATTCCAGTAAGTACAGTAGCATCTCAGAGCCAAGATGGGAGATGGAATAGGAGCAGGTCAGTCAGGGCTAGTGTCAGAGCAAAGCTCAGTCAGGTAACTGCCAGAAGAAGCCACTTGCGTGGCCCCAGTGTTTGTGTCCCAGACAGTGAGCTTTCGGGGGAGGGGTGGGGGTAAGCAGCAGAGTGTGGTCATGGGGGTAGTAAGCCCACCAAATGGAGACGGATATTTTGGGACCCCTGACCCCAGAGGGAGAGGGAGGTCCAGGCCCCGGCTCCAGGAGCATGTGAAGTGAATGAGCGCCTCATAGACAGGATGTCCTTCTGGTGGGAGACTTACACATGTGGAAAATTGTAAACACAGAGAGAGAAATCACTGACAGGCCCAGTGTGCTGCTCACAGCAGGGGGAGAACCCCTCGGCATCACAGTCATTTTCTTCATAGGCATATTAGCTTATGTTACATGGTTTTGGTTTTTGCTCTCTAAAAGTTAGGTTGTGGGCATTTTCTCCTATGAAGTTCTTTGGAAACATGATTTTTGATGGATCTGTCATTAGATAGTGGCAGAATATACTATACTTTGATTAATCCTCCACTGCTGGACTTCTAGTGGTTTCTGGCTTTAAAAAGAGTTTGAGCAACTGTGCTAAGTCTCTTTGGGAAAAGGTGAAGGTAACAGCTTTTCTGATTTTGTTTCTCAGATACACAGCCAGTTTTTAATACTCTCCTGGAGATAAGTTGTTCCTTTCTCATCTAATCATGGTGCTTCCTTCATCCCGTATCATGTTTATATATATTTTTTTCAGGAAATTCTTACAGGTCTTGTTTGCTGATCTTTTGATTTAAAGACTCCTGGACAAATTACACAGTTTGAATAGTTACCTTGTTTATTGGTCCAAGTCATTGCTGTTGCCTGTTTTAAAAAAATGTATTTCTTCTCCTTACCCATTTATTCTAACAAAAGGGCATTGGAACAATTGGGTAAGATTCCAAACAAAATAAAACAAGACTCCAGTGGGGTTTGTAGAGAAAGTTACTCAGTCTGTTTATATCATTAAAAGGATTGAGCTTTTTACTTTATTTTACTTTTTGGCTCGAGCTTCGGAGAATATTGTCTTCCATGAAAATAATAAGTAGGCCTATATTTTTAGTGATATTTCACATCATTGAAAGTCGGGTTCTCCATTCCCGATGCAGTTCTGTGCCCCAGAATGGTGCATTTGCAGTACACGTAGGGTCACGCCAGCCTTGCTGTCAATATCAAGAAAAGAGGTAATCAGCATAGCTCCTGGAGTGAATTTCCAGAAGGATCCTCAGAGGAAGCACTGGTAGCCAGATCCCTCCCTGGGACAAGACTTTGTGTGGGAAGGGTCAGGCTGGTCGCATTCTGTGTTAAGTGGCTTTCCGGTTGTCATTTCAGCTATGAAGTCTTACACTCCCTTTTTCATGCTCCTGTGGAGTGCTGTCGGGCTAGCCAGGGCTGCCAAAATCATCATCGTGCCGCCAATCATGTTCGAAAGCCACATGTACATTTTCAAGACGCTGGCTTCCGCCCTGCACGAGAGGGGCCACCACACAGTGTTCCTGCTCTCGGAAGGCAGAGACATCGCCCTGTCGCCCCATTACAGCCTCCAGCGCTACCCAGGGATCTTCAACAGCACCACCTCGGACGCTTTCCTGCAGTCCAAGATGCGGAACATTTTCTCGGGGAGACTGACAGCCGTGGAGCTCTTCGACATCCTGGATCACTACACCAAGAACTGCGACATGATGGTGGGCAACAGGGCCTTGATCCAGGACCTAAAAAGGGAGAAGTTCGACCTGCTGCTGGTGGACCCTAATGACATGTGTGGGTTTGTCATCGCTCACCTGCTAGGGGTCAAGTATGCGGTGTTTTCCACTGGCCTGTGGTACCCAGCGGAAGTGGGGGCACCTGCCCCCTTGGCTTACGTCCCAGAGTTTAACTCGCTCCTCACAGACCACATGACCTTGCTGCAAAGGATGAAGAACACTGGCGTTTACCTCATTTCCAGATTAGGGGTCAGCTTTCTGGTCCTTCCCAAGTACGAGAGGATAATGCAGAAGTACAACCTGCTGCCCGAGAAGTCCATGTACGACCTGGTGCACGGGTCCAGCCTGTGGATGTTGTGCACGGACGTGGCGCTGGAGTTCCCGAGGCCCACGCTGCCCAACGTCGTGTACGTGGGAGGCATCCTCACCAAGCCGGCCAGCCCACTACCAGATGTAAGGTTTGCTGGACTCTTTGGTCGTCTTTTTTTTTTTTTTTCCATGACGAAAGTCAACTTGTCGGTTTCGATTTGGTTCAGAGAGCGGGTTGGGTTTGGTTGGACAAGTAGGGCTGCTTGTTGTGCAACAGTCCCAGGTTGCTTTGGGGAAAGGGCCAGAGACTCGGAGCCTCGGTCCATCTGACAGCCTTTAATGCCCAAGCAGGGGCCAGGGTGCGGGCAAGGAAGCAGGCAGCGCCCTCCTCGCCGGGCGAGCGCCCGCTTCTCTGCCCCGGTGTCCGCACTGATAGGTGCGCATGCCCCGCGCTCAGGGCAGGTGCTGCGGGCATCCATCAGTGCCGTAGCACCTGTGGGAAATGAAACGCGGAGGCTGGTGGCGGGAGGCGTTAAAGGGCCCAGGTGACTCCATGGGCCTCACGCTGCTCTGGGGAGCAGTGAAGACGGACACTGCCGAGGCCCTTTGTCTGCGGCTGCCCCACACCCCGGAACCTGCCTGGCCTGGAGGGTGTGTTTCTGGGCGCTGAGTGGCCGCTGCTGAGAGCCAGCAGACTGGCGGAGAAGTAGGTTCTGATTAAGAGCTCGCTGTCGTATGTGAGGAGAGTGTAGCTAGACGATCCGTGTCAACGATCATGGTTCTGCTCTCAATTAAAGACACATTTACCTTCTGTTCCTCCCCAAGAACACACGCGCAGGTCTCTCGTCTCGATAAACACAAAGCCGGCGAATGGGTCTTGCTTTGGGCTGTCCTAACCACTGGGGAGTTTACACTCAACAATGAAAAGGAGCTAGGCCGACACCTCATTTAAAGTCAGCAAGCTACGTCGGTTTTCAGGAAAGACCACTCCATGAGATGGCACTTCTTTCTTTCTTTTAAAGATTAGCTTATTTGTTTATGCACACAAGAACTGGGGTACAGGACAGAGGTGTGTCGGGGGCGGGGGGTGAGAGGATTCGCCAGAGCCAGACTGGGGAGCAGAACAGGCAGACTGACTGAAATACACTGCTGAGGGGAGCAGCGGGCGGGTCGGGAGAGGTCTGCTGTGCCGTGCGGGTCAGCTCCCTGGCAGGTGATCAACTCAGCAGTGGCTGCGGAGCCTTCGTGGTACTGTGCTCGGATGCGTTGGCCAGCAGGGAGGGCTGCTGGGATACATTTTCAGTGACAAAGAAGGGCTCATGGTCCTTCAGGCACTTGTGTCTCCTCATTAAGTAAAAGCTAAGTTTTGCTGTGGCTAGTGGAGCCGTCAGTGGGTCCTGCCTTCCATCTTGTCAGGCCCGTAGAGGCACCAAAGCACCCGCGGGGTCTGTGGTCTTTCGGGGTCTCTAACCTCCGGTTCTCGCTGGGTTTAACCCTCCAACACCTGGCTGCATTTGCCAGGCGCGTAAGGCCTAATCTGTGATTGTCTTTCTTGAAACTGCCTCAAACTTCTGAAAATACTCACAACTGTGCTAACTTGCTCACTTCTGCCCGTCCTCTCACCTCCAACCTTTGTTAAGCTGCGCAGCGTGTGACAGTGTATTTCTTCCCCCCATAATCCAGGCTTATCTTTTCCTCTAAGGCCCATCCTGCCCATTCCTTCCGTTTTACTTGACTGTTTCATTTCCCTTTAGAAGACAGCTTTGAGCGGTTTCTGGAGCCTCGTGCAAGGCTCTGCTCGAACCGTTTTCTGATGGCTCATAATTCCTGCTTTGACAGTGGTTTCCCCGACTTTGTGGACGCCGCTGTCCTCTTATCCCTCCTTGGGCTTTGGTCATGTTTCCTTGGAAAGTGTGCTTATTTACAGTGACCCCTCACAGTGACCCACGCTGTGCCGGTGAGGCCCCTCGCGCACACCCAGGCCCGTGTGGCCGGGCACGTGACACACACCGGGACCTAGACCCGGGCCACGTGACCACTGGGAGTCCATGAGGCCGTGCACGTGGAGGGCTGTTTTCATGTCCGTGTGGCACTTACACAGGCCACCACAGGGAGTGTCTGGGAGAACTGTGTGCCTTACTTTCTGCTGTTCCTTGTTCTGCTGAGGTTCTGTATGCTTATAACACACACACACACCTATTGGGATTTTTCCCGTAGATTCACTGATAAGATAAAACTGTAGCTAAGGGTTCTAAAGGTCACTGAGTCTCCCCAGTTCCTATGTCATTTACAGGGCAGGGCGGGGGACCCTGAAACAATAGGGCCCAGCCAGCCGCCACTTACACCCATCCCTAATAACAGCCTAATTGTTAACTGTCTACAGTAGGTTACACTGGCAGTGGATTAGGGTTTCCAGATGTCTGGGAAAGATTTGACAGTGGGGTTTGATTTCACAATCTGGGGCGAAAGGGCAGAGAACTTTTCTAGGAGACATTTTTGTAGATATTTTCTTAATGTTTGAAACTAAAACTCTAGAGAGCAGCTAGCTTAGTTTCATTCATTTTCTTTTTTCACTGTCAAAACGCGGAGAATGGTCCCCTCATTTGTCGCATCGGAGCCTCAGAGTCCGAGTGTGTCATCCAGGGCCACAGGATGAGTCTGTGCCAGGTGAAATGTGCAGTGTCCTACTGTTGATTAAGTTTTTTGTCTTAGATGGCTGTATCTCTGCCACTCATCTTACTTATTTGCATGTTTTCAGGGTTTCGCCTAGAAGCCGTCACTCTCTGTCACGTATGGTAGTGGGAAGCTGGCATCCACAGTCAGTCAGGGGTGTCAGAGCTGAGGTAGGGGACCGGAGTCCCTACGGTGAGAGGTCCTGCGAGGCCTGGTCCGAGATGCTAGCACAAAATTAGGGAAATTAGGGCTGTTGTTACCAGTACATTATAAATGATACCTTGTGAACTCTAATGTCTTCCAAACTGCGGCGACCCCTTTTTTAAATTGGCGCAATTTAATGTTGAAGCGCATGTTAGTGATGTATCTGCCTCTTCATGCTCTCTGCTACCTGGCTGCCTCCTTAGGAGTCCTGACATGTGTGGGTGAAGGTCTGGGTGGGCCCTTTCTCATCTCAGTGCCCTGGTGATCACAGATACCGACCCCGTCCCCCAGAAATGCTAAAGGCAGGTCTGTAAACTAACTCCTGATAACTTATTACATGTAAATGAAATAACAACTCCTACCAGGAAGTGATTATACCTTTCAATAGTTTTATTAGTGGGTTAAGGCTATTAATATGCCACTCTAGGATAGCATGTTGGCTTAAGGAGTCTGTTGACTATTAAAATACATCATCTGCTTCAAGGTGGTCAGTTTTAGATGATTGTCCATCACCAAGGTTTTCTCTAAACAACCTAAACAACTAGCTTTTCCACTTCCCAGCTACTACCACCTTGAGCTGTGATCACACATCTCACATTGTACCTTAGCTGTTGATTTTTCAGTTGGCTCTTGCCTTCACTGCACTGTGGAACCCTCAAATAGTGGATACCCCGAGTATTCATCTTCATGGCCTGAGCACCTAGAAAACGGTGGGCACTCCATAATGCTTAATATTAAGTAAACTGCCTCAAACAGAAATAGTTGCCAAAAATTGGTGACTCAGCTAGTACAGTAATGTTGTGAACATGTAACAGTTACACATTCATCCCGAAAATATGTTCACATACCCCCCACTAGCAACCAGGCTGTCTGGGCTAAGTCATTTTAGTGAATTACAACAGCTGTTGAATGCTGTTGTTTCGAAACGAAGGGCAGTCAGGTTGGCTTCCGCAGGTGAGTTCGGGGGTCTGGCCCTCGTGGGGCACACCTCAACGTTCCTTTGTTGCCAGACTGAACGTTAAGGGCATCTTCATTTCACCAGTTGTAGGAACCTTTTTAATCGATGGAAACTTAGTGATGGAGAGAGGCAGTATGAGATTAGCAGACATAAGAAAGCGCGCAAGTCCGAGGGCACTCACCATCCCTTTGACACTTGCCGGAAGTACTCCAAGAGAGAGGTCTCTCTTGTAGACAGATTCATCAGCCTAACCCCTGGGAGCAGGTGAGGTTCTGTGCAGAGGAATAAAGTCAAGACAGAAAACAGTGACTTTCTGTGTTCATTTTCCAGGGAGTCACCTAGAAACCATCATTTGTTACATATAGCAGTGGGAAGCTCGACCCCCAATAAATAAAAGGGGTAGTCAAGCTGAGCCAAGGGGCCGGACTCTGTGGGGTAGGAGTTGCTAACAGACCAAGATCGTAGGCGATGGGGAAATTAAGGCCATGGGTGATAGCACACCACAGCTGCTGCGTGATGACCTGCAAAGCCAGAATGGGGTCTGTATGTGTGACATTGATCCCAGTGTCTGCTTTTGAATAAGTATCATTTAATCAAAAGTATATGCCTCTTTATAACTGGTTTCTTATTGTTATGTTATCAATCAGATATATTTTATAGAATGTTTTCATCTCTATGGTGTTAACTGTGTTAGATGGTAGCTGTGTGGGGATGAGCAACTTGAGACCCCTAAAGTTTGCAAGGGAGTAATGACTTCATTCCAGTGACTAACTCTGGGCTTGAATATTCAGCACAGCTTGACATTGGGCCCAAACAGGGAGCCCCTATGCCAACTCATTCATGTAGAACACTCTTGCAGAAGTATGCTCAGCGGATTCTGTGTTTTGTCTTTACGCGGTCACAGGAAACCAAGTTACCTGTGCTCAGTGCATCTGTCCAGGAAGCAAATCAGGGCTCTGCTAGAGCCCCGTACAGTCCCTGAGATGGTTTTTCCTCAGCAGCTCTACAGTTCTAAGGGGCTTATCGGTGCTTCTGTAAGCTTTAGGGCTTGCAAGGATTTTCAGTCATGAGAAGAGACACCAGAATAAGGACATGTTCAAACAAATTTATTTAGAATCGATTGTTCAGGGTCTCACCTGAATTTGAATCACCTCTCTCCCCTTGCTAAGTATTTCAGCTTTAAGCTGCCCTGTGGAATGGCTCATTTGGGTATCAATTCAAACACTGGCAGTGTCAAGGGAAATATTTTCAGTGGATCGTTTCTACAAATGATAATTTTTGTAATTGCTACTGGCATCAATTTATTATT